AGGCATGCCGCATTAGTGAATTCGAAGTGTGAAGACAATAGCGCATGCCCACCAGCGACTCCAGAGATAACTTAGCACCCTAAAGTGCCCAAGTACCATCGATTGCCACACGAAGGACTATCCGGGTTCTTCTTGAACCTACCGAACCCAGACTTGTAGCAGGATAGTGTCCTCAAAAAGAGAGAGAGTTTGGTGAGTCAATCGGCGGTTAAAAGCGGCGCAGGTGCGTTGCATGTCGCCGCCAAGATTTGTATCAAATATTGAGTCACTCAGCCTCTTAAGAGCACTTCTCATTCTCAGAGCTCCCAACAATCCGTACGGAGATCCAGCCCTTCAAACATGGCAGTCGACTTTTCTGCCGAAGAGGCCGCGACTCTCAAACGCTGGCGCGAGATTGACGCCTTCCAAACCCAACTGCGCCTCTCCAAAGACAACAAGCCCTACACCTTTTACGATGGCCCGCCATTTGCGACCGGCTTGCCTCACTACGGCCACTTGCTGGCTTCTACCATAAAAGATATTATTCCGAGATATTGGTCGATGAAGGGCTACTATGTCGAGAGGAGGTTCGGCTGGGACACCCATGGCCTGCCAATCGAGTATGAGATTGACAAGAAATTCAACATCTCAGGACCAGCGGCAGTGAAAGAGATGGGAATTGCAAAATACAATGCGGAGTGCAAGGCTATTGTCATGCGATATGCAGCCGAGTGGAGGGAGACGATTGACCGGTTGGGACGGTGGATTGACTTTGACAACGACTACAAGACCATGAATCCCACCTTCATGGAGTCGGTATGGTGGGTCTTCAAGCAGCTGTTCGACAAGGGCATGGTGTATCGCTCCTACAGAGTCATGCCCTTCTCAACCGCACTGAGCACACCGCTAAGTCAGCACGAAGCTCAATCCAATTACAAGGAGGCACAAGACCCAGCAGTGGTCATCGCCTTCCCGCTCCTTGAGGATCCTGAGACTAGCCTTCTTGCTTGGACAACTACGCCCTGGACCTTACCGTCGAACATCGGCTTGGCCGTCAATCCCAATTTCGAGTACATCAAGTTTGTGGACCAAGACTCCGGTCGCAAGTACATCATGCTTGAAAAATTGTTGGGAACACTATATAAAGACCCGAAGAAAGCCAAGTTCAAGGTGCTAGAGAAGATCAAGGGTTCAGACCTCAAGGACAAGCAATACTCACCACCCTTCGACTACTTCTATGAGGCATACAAGGATCGTGCTTTCAGAGTGCTAAATGCTGCTTATGTCACGGATGATGATGGTACCGGTGTCGTCCACCAAGCACCCGCGTTCGGTGAAGAAGATTTTCGGGTGGCCATGGAAAATGGCATCATCAGCCACGACCACCTCCCTCCCAACCCCGTGGACGAGACAGGACGCTTTACAAAAGAGGTCACAGACTTTGCGGGTCAGCATGTGAAGGAAGCAGACAAGCACATCATCAAACATCTGAAGGGTACTGGGCGCCTCATCCGGGACAGCCAACTAACCCATCAATATCCCTTCTGTTGGCGGTCAGACACACCCTTGATCTACCGTGCTGTGTCCGGTTGGTTTGTCAATATTGCTGGGAATGACAAGGTGCCAAGCATCATTCCAGATATGCTCGACGGAATTGCAAAATCGCACTGGGTCCCAAATTTTGTGAAAGAGAAACGATTTGCGGAGTGGATCAAGAACGCTCGTGACTGGAATATCTCGAGAAACCGATATTGGGGAACCCCTATTCCGTTGTGGGCGAGCGAGGACTACTCGGAAATTGTTGCTGTCGGCAGCATAGAAGAGCTGAAGAAGCTCAGTGGCTATGAGGGCGAGATCACAGACCTTCACCGTGACAGTGTGGACGAGATTACAATTCCCAGCCAGAAAGGCAATGGTGTTCTGCGCCGCGTTGAAGAGGTGTTTGATTGTTGGTTCGAGTCTGGAAGTATGCCCTATGCCTCGGCACACTATCCCTTCGAAAACTCAGAATACTTTGAGAAGACATTCCCGGGTGATTTCATTGCCGAAGGTCTCGACCAGACGCGTGGATGGTTCTATACCCTTGTCGTCTTGGGGATCCACTTGAAGAAAGTACTGCCCTTCAAGAACTGTGTGGTCAACGGTATTGTGCTTGCGGAAGATGGCAAGAAAATGTCCAAAAGACTCAAAAACTACCCAGACCCCAACACAGTCATTGACAAGTACGGTGCAGATGCGCTGCGACTGTACATGATCAACTCACCCGTCGTACGAGCCGAGCCGCTGAGATTCAAGGAATCCGGTGTCAAGGAGATTGTTGCAAAAGTTCTTCTGCCTCTGTGGAACAGTTACAAATTCTTTGAAGGTCAAGTAGAGCTACTGAAAAAGATTGAGGGCATTGACTACGAGTTCAGGCCGGAAATGGACACCACCAACACCAACGTCATGGACAAATGGATTCTCGCCAGCTGTCAAAGCTTGCTGAAATATATCAACGAGGAAATGGCGGCATACCGACTCTACACGGTCGTGCCGGGGCTGCTCAACCTGATCGATGAGACCACAAACTGGTACATCCGATTCAACCGAAAGAGATTAAAGGGCGAGCTGGGCGTGGATGACACGCTGCATGCCTTGAACACTCTGTTTGATGTCCTCTTCACCCTCGTCCGCGGACTCGCACCCTTCACACCATTCATCGCCGATCTCATCTACACTAGACTCCTGCCTTATATACCGAAATCCCTCCACAGCCAAGACATGCGCAGCGTTCACTTCCTCTCTTTCCCCGAAGTTCGACAGGAGTTGTTCGATCCAGTCGTGGAACGACGAGTGGGACGGATGCAAAAGGTCATTGAACTAGCCAGACAGTCCAGAGAAAGAAGAACTATCGGTCTGAAGACGCCATTGAAGACGCTAGTGGTCATTCACAAAGACCAGCAGTACCTTGACGACGTCAAGTCGCTTGAAGGGTACATTACAGAAGAACTCAACGTGCGGGATCTCGTCCTGTCGTCAGACGAAGACAAATATAATGTACAGTACAGCGTAACGGCGGACTGGCCAGTCCTTGGCAAGAAATTGAAGAAAGACATGCAAAAAGTCAAGAAGGCTCTTCCCGATGTCACCAGCAATGACTGCAAGACGTATCTGTCAGAGGGGAAATTGACGGTGGCTGGGATAGAATTGGTTGAAGGCGATTTGGTGGTCCGACGGGCGCTCAAGGAAGACGAGACTTCAAAGAATCAAGAAACGAACACTGATAACGACGTTCTGACCATTCTAGATGTGGCTATATACCCGGAATTGGCACAGGAAGGTCTCGCCAGGGAGATCATCAACCGAGTCCAGCAACTCCGAAAGAAAGCAAACCTGAAACCGACAGATGATGTCAAGATGGAATACAAAGTTCAGCAAGACCCGGACAATATCGGGCTCGAGCAAGTGTTCCAGCAACAAAGCTCCTTTATTGAAAAGGCGCTGAGACGGCCCGTTGATCATCACGTTGTCACGGAGGTCGAGGGACCAATTGTGAATGGCGATAAAGGCGGTGCCGATTTGATTGTGGAAGAGGTGCAGGAGGTACAAAAGGCGACGTTTCTGTTGAGGTTGTTGAAGCTCTGAGCAAGAGGCTTTTTACTCAGTGGCATCACGAGCATGAGCATGAAGATGACGTTGTTATGACATTTCTTGTAGAACGACGGAGTCGGTGAAAAGGGGTGTGTGTTGTGGATTTGCTCAAGAGCGTCCGAAAGAGAGAGAAAAAGTGTAAAACATAGAGCGAGCATGTCATGACTTCTTTGCGTGTCTCTGCGCAGATGAAGAAAAGAATTAGCTAGATGTTTTGCCACAGGAAGCAATAGATAGAAAGATCTTCGACGAGAGGATTGGTGTAAACCACTCGTGACTTGTCCATCTCTGCCTTTTCGCCCCAGTCGAGTACCCGGGAAGAAGAAAGGTGTCGAGTCGTGTTGAATCATCTCATACAGAAGGCGAGAAGTAAAGCACTCCTCTCTTTTCGAGAGAACCTCCATGGCTTTCTTTCCTTATCTCCTGAACATCGAAAGGTATCGTCGAACCGACTTCACGAGTCCCCCTTTCCCACACGCCAGGATCAAAAAATGGTGACTTACCAGATAACAGTCCTTCAACCTCATAAACTCCTTGGCACACATGTCCTGGTACGTCGACTGGTAATCGGCCAAGATACATTTTCCGTACGCAGAAGCCTGAAAAGAGACGGCGTCAGCCACCATAAACAAGATAGCCGAAATGCGATTCTCTGGGGATCTCTGAAACAAAAACGGGAGAGGACACACACACATACCTCGACAGAACACTTTGCGACGGCGGCGGCGAACTTTTCAATCGGCCTGGCGCGGCCGGACATGGTGGGCATGGCTGTTCGTTTTGATCGTGTGAGAGTTGTCAAGAGTTTTAGAGGTTGGTTATCTTTTGAAGTTCGACTTTGGTATGGTGGTCGGGTTACTGGGATTACATTAGGTGATCTGTATCGTCGTGTGTATATCTGGATCAGAAGGGGAAAGATGTCTACATGGTGGTGTGGCTTGATACATACATATCGAGCTCAAATGCACTACCGTAGACCATGTCCGGCGAATCATATGCTCCTAAAAGTAGTGGGCTAGACAAGGCTGTCACGGCAAGGCAACCAATCGCAAACCCCGGAAAAACCCCCCCCCCCCTGTCACAGGCAGAAGCACCAAGTAACAGGTAGAAGTTCCGAGTACAAGTGTTGGCGACAGGCAACCAGATGCCCACGACGCCCAGTCACGCCAGTGAAATGCCTGTGGGAAGTTGGGTACCCAACTTCGGCCCCCAAAAAGACGCAGCCCAATCAATTCAGCATTCCGGCTGGATGCCACACTTTTGTCCGCCTTGTTTTTAGAAAACCCACCGCCCACGAAAGGACTGACCTACAAAGTACTTTTGGCATCTGGCACGGGAATTCTAAACACTAACTAAGTCGGTAAATGGTAATCATATCGGAAGCCCACTTAATGCCAACCTCAATCGATAACAAGTTCGTTCCAACTTCACTGGCAGCAGCAGCAGCAGCAGAGCCTGAAGCGGGCTCAGACGACGATTCGACCATCGAGATCTCCAGGCCGGCCACAGTCACAGAGCTGGTGGGAGATGCTCGCTGCCTCTCCTGTATGCGGGCGGGCAGTAGATGTCACGTAGAGCAGGGCTCGGCGTCCTGCTTGCAGTGCTCTGTGCCAGATGGCTGTGTCTTTGAGCGCCTCATAGTGGTCAAGGGCCGTGTCCTTGATTTTGCATGGTCTGACCTGATCGGTCAAACATCCACCATCAGGAGACGATCGGCTTCCACTGTTGCGCCGCCAGCCAAGGAGGCTGTACGCCAACCGATTCTCCCTACAATACGTGACATCCTCCATCAGGATCTCCAGGGACATGTCCACGCCAACGATTCTGCTGTTGGGAGAATGCAGCGCCCCTCTTATAGTCCACAGGACAACGGCCTCGCTGCCGGTGAACAGAACCCTTCGAAAGACGATGCTCACACCAACATCTCAGAATTGTCTCCACAAAATGGCAACTCCATGGCTTTAGGACAATCACAGAACGTCCATGAAACGGCTTCGCTCGACGAGAGACTGCCACATGCTGCGGCAACAGTGCTGGTCGCCGCTGCAAGAGATGGGCGCACGAGCATCGGAAGACTGAGCAGTCTGATAGACCTCGAATGTGGCGATTGCGGCTACCGTGCAAAAAGCCGCTCAGACCTTAAGTATACACATCCACCCCGCTCTTATAGCACTCGAAAGATCACCGCTGACGTACTAATCACAAGAAAACACCTTGCGCGCCACAACCGCGATCACAAATGCCCAATCCAGGGCTGCCCGCAGAAGTGGAAGGGCTTTGCCACCCGCAACGACCTGGACAGGCATCTATTCGTCATCCACAGGATCAACAACAGGAAATTAAAATCCTACAAGTGCTTCGGGAGAGACTGTTCAAGGCCGCAGAAGGAATGGCCTCGACTGGATAACTTCAAGCAACACCTCAAAAAGATGCATTCGAGGGAGAGCGAGGAGGTCCTACTCCAACAGTGAGTGATTGCCCAACGTTTTGGAACACAGCTGATTTGGCTCCAGATCTAATGAATGGTATGAGCGTCAGCTAGCCCAACAGCTTGAGCATGGTACCCTAAGAGTTTCCCCAGCGGCCGAGGCTGCTGCAGTTCAGGTCTCAGCCCCTGGGAGGGTTTCTTGTGCCAATGGCAATCGCACCGACAGCGACTCTGCTGTAGAGGTCTCTTGAAATGAGATATCTTCTGGCAAGGGAGATATTGCACAATGAACCCCGTCGGTTGAATGTCCGCCGATGACAGTCGACCTGATTGTGGGACGGAGGCAGTGTCTGCCATTTATCAGCCTCGATATACCCGTGGAATGATGCGTGGTTCATTCATCGATCACAGAGACGACCGCCGCGGTAGGGGAGATGCCGCATTTCGCCTTCCATGGACCTGGCAGAGCGTTGCTTGGTCAGGGAAGTCACATTGCCTGGGTTTCCAGACCAACAACCTGTCTGCACTACAGAGTACATGAAGCGGCTTCAATCCAGGAGAATACAAGAACTGGGGACTACGCCCGGGTGTATCTGGCACGAGCTTTTGGCGTCGAAGATGGAACACGCATCAGACAAATCAGGCAAATCGGACAAACAAGGCTGCCTCGATTCTCATTGGCTTATGCCTAGCACCAAGCGAAATGCCTGCACGTGCTTGGATCCAAAGTTGTGACGTGAGACCTACGTCATCGACAATTCCATTCACTGAATACCTTTGTGAGAAACGAGGTACTCGTCGAGGTGAATAGATGCCAGGCTGAAGTGAGGCTTATGGAAGCAACCTCTTCCAACCCCCTTGTCACTGCTCCCTGATCACACACGGTTGAATCTACAAAAAAGACCACCGAAAGCAAACTTTTACCAGTGTACCTCACAGCACATCCCCCAACCCAACTACCAACCTCATCGAGACTGACACAGATCCCGCACACTCGGTCAGAAAAGACAGGTTGGAAATCATGTCCTCTCATAATCACCACCATAATCACCCCGATCACCACGCACACTCGTCTCATCAACACGGCCCAACGCATGATTCCTCCGTGCACTCCCCCCATCGACACAACCACGCCAACAACCCCAACCACCATCCATCCCTGCAAGGACACAGCGGTCCCGGCGGTGCTGGTGGTCCGACCACGCACGACAAAATAACCACGGACCCGACCGCAACAACCATGGGCACCATCACCACGGGCCAAGGCCACAACATCTCCACCGCCCCCAGCGCGACATATACCAGCTCTTCAGACCCGTCGACCGCACCGCACGCGCCCTCCACGCACAAGATACTCGGCGACATCAAGGGCGCGGTGCACGGGGTGACGGGCTCGCTCCAAGCGGCCACGGGGACCGTGTTGGGTCAGAAACACATGGCCGACAAGGGTTTTGCAAAGATGGGCGAAGAGGATGCGCGCTTGGCAGCGAAGACGGGCAAGCCACCAGTGGGTACTGAGCAGCGGGGCACGGTCGTGCCGCCAGAGTCGACCTCTTCCACCTCCTCCACAGGTACAGGTGCAGGCGCTGCCGAGCATGGGAGGGGTCTCGCTCACGACCGAACCTGAGCAAGTCACCAGTCACCAGTCATCAGGCACCGGTAAGCCGTGGAGCGTGGAACGTGGAACGTGATATTGAGCTAGCTAGCCAGCAGAGTGATGGGGAGAGCGAGACCACATGCCAGAGAACTGGAGAGACAAAGACAGAGACAGACAGGAACAAGACCACCCCACGACAACCACTCTTTTTTTTTCCCCTCTCCTCTTTTTCTGTTCCGTTTTCTTTCCAATAACGATAAACTACGACGGGTAGGAGAGAGAAGGGTAAAAGCATCGGAACAGAACCGGACAATTCTTTGACTAGGAAAGAAAGAAAGAAGAAAAGGGGAAATGAATACCGCAGGGGTCGAAGGGTCTCATCTCATCTCACCTCGACCATAGATCCCATCGATCCCAGCTGTGAGGATACATCGAGCATGATTCTCCGAGGTTACTCGATTCATACATGCAGATGTACATACGTACCTATACACCTACCCACCAAGAGTACTCGTAGTTTCATATTGGCACCACGGTTCATGGCTCGCTCGACATTGTATACACATGACTTCAGTCAGACCGGGCCAGACCAGGTCAGTCAAAGAGGACTTATGGGGATTAGCATGAGGATGAGAATGACCAACCCGCCCAACCACCCCCCCCCCCCCCCCCCCAAAACAAAAAGAAGAAAAAACAGAGAGCAAAATGGGTAAGGAAAAAAAAATTGAAAGCTGGAAGAGGCTGAAAGAACACTCCAAGATTGATCAACGGGAGTTTTGATATACAGTACCAATCTGCTTGTTTTGCATGCTTGCTTTACTCATCACCGTGTCTCTCTCGAGCCGAACGCTTTTCCTGGTCCAGGTGTAGGGTCCATGTGACTGTCTCGTTTTGGTTTTACTTTTTGTAGATAATATTTTCTTTTCCAGCTCGGCCCCTACATACATCCATGGCCCCCCGGCTGCAAGCCATATACCATCCATCCACCCACCCATCCATCCAGGGCCGCCGCCCGCCCATGTCAAATTGGAACTGGATTCGTTCATTCGGGATTAACAATTGCTTGATCCCTTTGCCTTTTCATCTTTGTCTCGTCTCGCCAGATCATGATAGCCCAATCAATTCCCAAGTCGTTAAAACGTAGCGCGTGGAAACACATGACGACCGAGGGTAGAAAAAAAAATTAGAACAGTTTTGCTTTTTGTTTTGTGGGTTATGCAATCGAGCATGCTGCGCCAAACCCCACTTCAAGGTATGCTCCAGCATGAGCAACGCTATGCACAGAAATATCATTATGAACGTATGGTGGCTTTTGGGGGTCCTTTTCGTCCTCTGGGTATTATCAATGGGTCCGACAAGCTGCCGTGTACGTGGGATTAGTGAGCCACATTAGGAAGCCTGCGCCTGTGGGGATTGCGCCACGGGCTCAGGTATCCAACAAGGGCATAGGCGTCAAATAGCTTCTCAGACCTTCATTCCTCGAAAAAGAAGCCGTCCTCACCCGTCTTCTGTACACCGCTCATTCGATGCTCAAGCGTTCTCGTCCGAGCGAGGAAATTGTCATCGACCCGATGGTCTTCGGCATCTCGTGCCCCACCAAATTGTTGTTCCATGGTGCTTTCATCCACAAAGGTGAACCCTTGGAAGGCATTCTGCATCGTGGGCGATAACGGCGTCGATGCTGGTGCGGCGCCAGCAGCCAAGGCGGCCGCCCGAGCATTCAGAGATGATGAGGTATTGAGAGCGTTGGTGAATTCGGGATCAAAGTTGGAAGTATCAGCGATCGACGTCAATTTGGGCTTGAACGGAGGCACGAGATTTTTCTTGCCAAGCGCATCCCAGTCAATGTCCGCAAAGAAGGGATGCTGCATCAGCTCCTCCGCATCTCCATGGGCACCAAGTCGGTGCTTAGGATTGCGGTTCAGCAGTCCCTTGACGAAGTTTCGACCCTCGGTGCTCAAAGCGTCTCTCGGGAACCGCACCTTACCGAATGCAATGTTTTTGTACATTTGCTGGGTGTCTTCGGCATAGAATGGGCTCCATCCACAGCACATTTCAAACACCAGGACACCGAGAGACCAAAAGTCCACCATCTTAGTGTAGCCCTGCTCGTCAAGCAACACCTCCGGAGCGAGATACTCGGTTGTTCCGCAGAAGGTATTGGTAGTGTCGTCCTGTGCCAAGTTGGCCTTGGAGAGACCAAAGTCACACAGAGCAATATGGCCATTCGCGTCAAGAAGGATATTCTCGGGCTTGAGATCTCGGTAGACAATGTCGGATTGATGGAGATGCTTGAGAGCAAGGATAAGCTCGGCGATATAGAATTTGGCGCGGTCTTCTTTGAATCGACCTTCCTTTTGGAGATGCCAGAATAACTCCCCCCCCGACATGAAGTCGGTAACCAAATAAAGATCGGTCGGGGTCTGGAACGAGAATTTGAGACCCACGATAAAGGGAGACTCCGTGGTTGCCGTCCGCACCAGTATGTTTCGTTCTCCAATCGTGTGCTGAATCTCCTTCTTCTGAATAATGACCTTTTTTGACAGGACTTTCATAGCGTAAATGCGGCCAGTGTCCTTCTTCCGGACTTGATAAACTTGCCCAAAGGTGCCCTTCCCGATCAGCTTGAGAATCTGAAAATCATTTGGGCCGACATGTTTCTTCTCGACTGGAGAGAAGTGCATCCTGATGTGAACTTCGCCTGTGATATCGTGATCATCTGGGGTTCGAGGTTCCAGTTTGAAGAAACCTTCCAGTGTAGGATTTTGTTCTGTCAGCTTTAGGCACAATCTAATATGGCCCAGGAATGTTTCTGCGTGACGATCATAGACGGTCACATCCAATTCCGACTGGTCGCTCACGACGTCGCTGGAAAGCAGTTAGTTGGAAAGTAGATTGAGTGTGTCTCGATTCACTTACAAGATGGCCTCGTGGTCCCACTGGGGGTCAGTGACTCTGCCATCTCCGTTTGTGCTGCTTTGGCGACTTCTCATGGGAATAGCCATTGGCTTCCCCATGTCACTGTCGGTTCTCCGGACTGACTGTAACTGACCAACCGGGCCTTTCCGGTCATCGACGTCAACATCCATCTTGTCATGTCTGGGTCCTTTGGAGACATATTCATTCCATTCAAATTGACAGACTACATAGGGATCGAATGACGGCTTCAAGTCCCGACCCTCGGCAATCTTGATGGAAAGTTTGCCCCGTGGCGTACTGTTGGGTATTTCATCTTTGACTGGAGAACGTTTCTCGACTTGGGAATTTCCTTCACTGACGGTGGTACTCGTGCTCGAAAGTGGCGACCGAGTATCAGCCCGTCGATGATCTTCTTGGGACAGGGCTCGAGGGGTATGAGGAGGGGTGCTCTTTTCACGCGGCACATCGGCCACGTTGGAAGTTAGCTCATCTGACCCTTTTGAAATTGCAGACGATGGTAGCTTAGCATGACTTGGAGAAGGAGACTTGGGGCTCTGTGGTCTCGAAGAATTCGTGGATGATGCAGGGTTTGAAATATGTGCGGCTGCAACGGTGCTTTTAGTAACACCTGAGACGGGTAAGGATTGGTGGCGGCGATCCTTCACGCTTGATACAGACTTGGGGAGTACAAAATTCCTCAAGGCCTGCGTGATGGAGGATATGCCACCATCCAGTAGGGACCCGCCATTCTCTGCCACTTCGCCATCTCTATGCACCACGGAAGCGGCAGATGAGATTGGCGTAGGTGGTAACTGAGAAGGGCCCCCGTCCGTGACGGGTGGTGCAGACTCATCATGTAGCTCTTCTGGTGGTGGTGTTGGAATGGAAGCTTGTTCTCGTTCCACAATCACCATAGAGCCCAGCGAAGCCGACGAACCTCGCCTGCTCTGACATTCTGTTTTAAGTTGTTCGGATTCATGTTCAGGGTTCGCGGCAGCTTGAGATGCCCGTGACGGTGCATGCTGAGAAGGATCTCTACCCACCTGGCCAAAATAACCGTGTATTATACCCGGCAGCCGTTTGTCGTGGAGATCTGGACGCGGCGTCTCTACACCAGACGGTGTAGGTGAATTCGATCCAATCTGATCGTGAAAGTCTTCTCGGTTTTCATGTCTCGCACTACTATGCGGAAGGTTAGCTAGAAGGCTCAGAGGATTTGCACGTTCAAAAAGAGAATTCTTCGATGACGACGAGCTTGCAGGTGCAGCATAGCCGGAGCCCAACCCGACGGGGCGGAACATGGTATCTGCCTCTGGATCCTGCTCTTTGATCGGACACACGATATATCTCTTCCCCAATGACCCATGAGCCTGGAGACCTGACTCACAAGGTCATAAGTCTTTAGAAGGCCAGGGTGACAAAGTGCCCAGTTGGTTTGGATCTCCTCAAAACCGAGGCTGGGGTAGAATCAACCCCGCCATCCACATGGCCAGCCATACACAGCTCTTTCCCGACACGAAACTTGATGGCTCAAAGGAAAAGATCGGGACATACTTTTGAGCCACGGCTTGTCTCAACAGATCTGCAGCAGCTGCTGCATTTGGGTTGACTCCAGTCTGCGCCATGTTGGCGGCCTCCTCTCTCGCTCTGGTTTTCCTCCTCTTTCAAAAATCCGAGCACAACTCTTATTTTACGAAGTGTGCGGGCTAAGTGTCGCCGCGCTCACCCGTGCAGGGAGGGGGTATTTTGGTTCCTGAGATTCCCGGACCGCAGGCTCGAAGAGGCAGTGACGGAAGAGATGCAGAATTTGGAGAAAATCGGGAGATCGGTCGACAAGGATTGTAGGGCTTTCTCGGAGCTCGTTCGCGATGTCGTCTTAACTCAGAATAGTGGCCATCCGGACCTTCACTGAAGTGTGAAACTCGAGTGAAAAAAAAATTTGGGCTCTGAGGTGGCGATTTGGTGGTGAGGGTCAAAGATAACGACGGCAAGCTCGTCAGGACGGGGGAGCACTGGTGGGTGATATAATCGAGTTGCAGAGCGAGAGGTCAAAAAAGCGTGACTTGGAGAAAAAGTAGGCGGGCCCAGGTCCTCCTCTCTGGGAGGCGAAGCCTCTAAGGTTTTTGGGGGGGATGGACGTGGGAAGGGCAACCACAAAATGGGGTGAGGGCGGGATAGCGGAAAGTGGTATGATGGCAAAACTATGTGCAGAACGAGGTCGTTTGGGTAGCCCGGCGAAAGAAGCTCAATAAAGTAGGGAAGAAGAAGGGATTTTAAGAATTGGGAACTGATGGCAACATCCAAAGTCAAATAATAGAGGCTGCCAGAGGCTCTAAAGGTCCATGCTAGGTACAAGAGTCATGTTGTGGTCGAGTGGCTACACCTCCTGGTGCCGCCTATGGGGGCTTGGGGGGTCAAGATCCAGGACAAGTTCCGGGGTCCCTGACGCTGAGTGACGGGCAACCCAAGCGTCAAGTTACAGCAGACGATCCGTCATCCTCATTATTATTCGATTATCGGTGAGTCCTTTTCCGGCTGTGGGAATTTTGCACTGGGCGGGCACCACCAGAAACCTACCAATTCATAGTACACCATGTGCCACTCAGGACCAGGCTGTGCTCAACAAAACTAGCAAGGGCTTACGACACAAACATACAAGTACCAGGACACAGCGACGTAGATAACGCGCCTTTGCCTAGCACCCATGACTGAATGGCGGTGGACGGACGGATCGAGAAAATACTAATGAAGGGAGGGAAGCGGCGACGACGTCATCCATGCACATGGGGAGATGCGAAGAAGGGATTGACTTCCGCATGGCCTTGAAAAGTTTAACCCTCATTCCTTTTCGAGGCCTCCTCATGTTATTATCTGCCTTGGGCCGAGCACAAGTGGCAGTGGAGGAAAGTCCCTCTACTTCGTTCTTGGAAGGAGAATTCGTTGCTCAAGGCTCGAGGTTGGTGCAACTCATAGGTAAGAATAGTAGCCTGAGATCGAGATTGATTTGCATGTGGAATCTGCGTCTCTTGGTCAGCTGCAAGTGTCCCAAAAATCCCTGTTCGACCAAGCACCTCAGCACTCAGCACATGCAAAATCTCGGAGGCCCCGCCATGTCATATGGCCTCTGAAGGTGCCAGTGGTAGCAGTGACCCTCGCTCGGCTATCTCGTCTACGCAGGCTACATGATATCGCACATCTCCATAACTTCACGGGATGTCTACTTTGTAGGTATTCGACCCACTCATGACAGAGGAAAAAGTCTTCTTCGTGGAATATCTGCGCAAGGCGTGTCTGACCTGGATGAAGAAGACATCCTCATGTTCGAACACAGGAGTTCTTTCCATCTCTTCGCGAAGGTCAAACAGGTCAAAAAGCCTTTTTTCTAGGGTAGCTTGCCGGACGAGAGCGACACCCGTCCAATAATGAGTGCGAACGATGTTCTCCGATGAGTCGGCGATTCTATGCACGGCTTGGCCGGGGCCGGCTGTGCAGATGACCAGCTGTTGAGGAATAGTAAATCGAAGACACTGGCAAGATGTTGTGTAACTACCTAGCTTAGTAGGGTGCTTTGCACTTTGGTGATAAGGCTGAATGCAAGCAAAAGGCCTGAATGATGACCAGGTTTTGGAGGTGGGATGCCTTGTACTCCTGCAACTGACATTTTCATCTCGTATTGATTTGAGAGCTACCTAGTAGGCAGGAATAGAGGGGCTTTGAGACAAACTCTTCATCTTTATCGCGAGAATTCATTGCTTTGGAATGCTTAGCATGTTTGGCTGGCATGTTTGGTCGAATATTGGCGCAAAGTGCTTGAGAAGTCGACCGTAGATGCCCCAAGTGGATTTATAGCCCGCCGTACCACGCCAAGATTATTGGTTCATTCGCGTGGCGCGCTTTCGCCGCTTGTTTGCAAGGTGTGAAGTCGCAAGACGGAGATCCTTCAAGATAAAAGACTACTACATTTCAATTGGGGGCTTGTCGACACAATGGCTCGGCGCCCACGTCTGGCGGCTCAAGCGGCTCAAGCGGCTCAAGCTTCGATGCGTAAGCCTTTCTGATACATCTTCCAAACTGAATCACATCCGCTAACTTTGAGCGAAGGTACTCCTATCCCTAACATATCCGACAACGAGGACGAAGAGATGCCAGATGCTACACCGGTGGAGGCGCCTACACCACAAGACGATGACGAAGATGCAGAGAATGAAGATGAAGAAGATGGGATGAACGATGCAGAGGAAGCTCCAACTCCATCACGAGAGTCAGAGCAGCCGTCTCGGTCCGCGACTCCTCGCCGCGGTCGACCCCCCTTACCCCGTGGGCGTCGAGGAGGCAGACTCGGCAGACCCCCAAAGCATCGTGTTGCGACAGCGTCAGACGATGGAGATAACGATGCGGCTTCTGAAACAGCCACCCCAAAACGTAGAGGAGGTTTCCGGGGTCACAGGGGTGGGCGATGGGCTAAATACCGGGCGGGAGGGTCTCGGCCACAGCAAGCTCCTCTTGACGATGACGGAAATCCGATGGAAATTGTCAATGACGAAGTTCTACTACCTGAGGACTCGGAAGGCGAGCAGAAGGTAGATAAGAATGGGCGTTTGCTGGGTGGTAGGGAATACCGGGTGCGAACGTTTACAATTCTCGGCAGAGACGACAGACTCTACATGCTGTCAACAGAGCCGGCGCGTTGTATTGGGTTTCGCGACTCCTATCTGTTCTTCCAGAAACACAGGCACCTCTACAAGATCATCATTGACGACGATGAAAAGCGGGATCTCATTGAAAGAGATTTGATCCCTCACTCTTACAAAGGTCGTGCCATCGGAGTGGTAACGGCTCGGTCTGTGTTTCGAGAGTTTGGAGCTAGGATCATCATCGGAGGCAGAAAGATTATAGACGACTACGAGACTAAGAAAGCACGGGAACGTGGTGATGTCGAGGGTGAGATAGCTGTCCCGGAAGATCGCCTGCCGCCCCCTGGAGAGCCTTACAATCGGAATCAATATGTGGCGTGGCATGGTGCCAGCGCAGTCTACCACACAAACGCGCCCAGTGTGCCTCTTCCTCTCGCGAAAGCGCAAGAGGCCAAGCGGCGAAAGATTATGGTAACGAGCGATAACTGGATGTTGGAACATGCAAGGGAAGCCAGGTAAGAAGCTGACTATCAGATGGGCGGACACCTGAACTGACTCATGTGCATAGCCGATTCAACGCGCAATTGACGGTGAACCGACTGGAAAATATTCACGGTCTCTACGACATACACACCAATGTCATGCAGTACCCAGCCCATATGCAACCCACGCATGCACGATGGGAAATGGTCGATGATCGAGAGGCCACCCAAGATCAGGAGAAAGCAGGGCATTTACCTCACCTCGACCCTGTATATGGACGAAATTTCCGGATTCATGATCTATGTCTTGAATCGGCGCCGGAGTCCTGGTATGGGTCGCCTGGTACCACTGAGGAAGGAGGTACCCTCTCGTCAATCCCAATGGACATCCTCGAAGAGCTTCCCGATGATTGTTTACGCGCGTTTGAAGAAGCCAAATCACGCGAGCACGAATGGCGGGAAAAGTGGCGTACAGAACGGGAAGATGGGCTTAGGGCACACCTTTTGCCTTCGTTTGAATGGTTTCCGAAATGAGTCGACCTTGTGGGTAAAGCATACTCTTCGAAGGATTCAACCTCTGCGGATATCGGACCATTCACACCCAGCACTGATCAGAAATATCTAAACACGACCCTTCAAGCCGACGCCGCTATTTTCTGGACAGGGTCCCATTTACCAGACATCAACGTTCTCCTCATCATTGTGCTCGTCCATCCGACGGCGGAGTAGTGATCCCAAAGATCACTGACTTGGATTGGGTCTTTGGATCCAACGGTCGTGAAATGCCAACCATGTGTTCCTGCCGTTGTCAGGAACAAGGGTGGGGCCCCAGGGTCCGTGGGCTCTGCAATTCCCGGCCTTTGTGTGTGGGAAGACAATTTATTGGAAGTCCCGAACTCAAACTCGGTGGAAGTCGGGGGTTGATGAGGGGGCATGCTTAAGATGAGCTCCAGAAATTCTCTACCTTGAAGGTAAAGTGCACAAGCAGACCGATTTCCGGCGGTATTTCTGGGAGAGAAAATCGTCGAGGTTGTGATTGGACAAATCAACTCCATCCCCGACCACCCTGGGCAGCTTCTGATCCGTTGGACCAATTACCCCTTTCGAATATTCAACCCAGTCCCCTTGAAGAATCGACTTGGCAGTCTGCATATGACCGCCGAGAATTTTGTGCCGCGGTAAGCCGACCATTTCTGAAGGGCACGGGAGCAGGAAGCTGCAGAAGAAAGCTACGGTGTGGGTGTGCATCACGGGCTAAAGCTCCCTCTGCAATTGCCTTTGCACATACTTCATTGATGGAGATGATTCAGAGCTAGACACAGCCGATGGGCCGGATTGTGTGCTGTGGAGGGTATACCGTCGATGGGTGCGGCATCTTATGCAAATGCACTTTGGGAGGCACTTGCACACCGGCCACGTGAGGGGCGGGCGCACGATGATGTCGTTGTGCTTAGGAACCAACCCGTGTTCGAAATAATAGCAACATCGAAGCATGCACAGCTCTACGAA